TAAGATCATCCTCTGAGAAAGTTGAATGAAAACTTCCGAATACAATGGGAATCAATCTATCATTATTTACTGAAATCCTTCCTTTCCTTGCTCTCCCACTTGAATATAATCTTTTTGTGCTGTATAATTTGGCTTATTTAAATACATTTCTTCAACTAGGATTCTGCTTTAACTTTGAAAAACTTTGCTTCCATTTTTAAGAAAAACTTTCAATATTTTATATGCAGTCATCTATCTCAGTCAATGAGCTTTTATTGAATTTTAATTCAGTTTCATTAAGAATGGAATTGTTAAGAGTTTCTCCTCATTTGAGACAAGACTTGATCCATAGTCCCAATATATTCCACCCTTATTTCACCGCATATCCCATAAAAGGGTTCAATGGGGATTTCTGACTCGTGACCTTGACTGAGATAAAAGGCCTATATGTGTACTGCAGTGAAGATGGAGATATGTAGATGCTTTCAATATGTACGCCTTCCATCATTTACATTCAACAGCCAGGCACTTAAGGCAATGTGGAGACAAGTATCGGCTTTACTTTCCAATGGAAGATGCTAATTGGCCCTTTAGGCATTGGCCAATCGTTTGGTTGGTCTCTGGTTGTCTGTCGCGCATCACACTAATCTAATCTGCTTCGCCTCTTTGCAAGTTTGACCCTGTCAGGCGGAAACGAGAAAGTCTAGATGAGGAGTTTATTTGTGCGAGTAAGACTCTTTCTCCCGAACCCTTCTCGAGGAATTATCCCAATTTTTCACGTCTAATTGTCAAATTTAGTCACAAATGCCATCCTCTTACTCTGATTGGCAAACGTTCTCCCCACTTTCCCAATGTATTGAATTTACCATCCTTGAATAGCAGGTCAAAATTAAACAGGAAATCTTGCCTGTTTGGCCGTCCAGATAGAGAATATTTTCACGAATTAGAAACTATGTAGGCAATCATTCCGAATTGAATTCTTGAGGGATAATCAAAGTTCGTTGTTGTTCCCAGCTCATTCCATATGCAGATGATGAAAAGCGCATTGTCGGCATAGTAACCCATCTGAGAGATTCGGCTCGCTATGTGCCTGCATCAGAAGGCAACTTCCGGATTTGCCGATTTATCCAAATGGCCCATCTGCCTCTGCGCTGCTCTCACGAAACCCACAAAATCCGGCCTCCACAGCTTGGGTCATGTGTTTGCTCGGCTGATCGGCCTTGTGACTTGGTCCATCAGTGCTTCCTGGCCGGCAACCTATCCGTCCACCAGTCATGTTCCTAGGCCGGCAACGGTGCTGGTCGTCACGATGGCCGTTACCGTGGCTGCGACTGCAGCCTCCGCCTCCGCCTCCTCGTCAGGATCCAGAAGCGGCGCTGGCAGCGGTAACGCAACCTCTGGCGGAGCGACGAGCAGTGCGGGTGGCAACAGTCGTGGTGGCGCCTCTTCCGCGGCTGGTGCTGCGCGAACGGCCGCAATCACAGTACAACAACTCAACTACACAATCGACGAAAACACTGCCACAGGCTCTGTTGTCGGCCGGCTTGCTGAGGACATGTACCCTCGACCGTTGGCGGAGGCCCGCTTCTCGATGCCGGAAAACGCGTTTTTTCAAGTCAGTCTGTCTGGCGTCTTCACCGTGGCGGGACCCATTGATCGCGATGGCAACCGGCAACTGTGCGTACAGCCGGGCTATCCTGCCGTGTGTCAATGGAATGGTCTCATCATGTCCAGCACGGGACAGTATATTCCGGTCGAAGTGGCGGTGCATGATGTCAACGACAACCCACCCAGTTGGCCGATTGATGATGTCACTCTGGACGTGCCCGAGAACAGCCCGGCCAGCTACACTGCCGAGTTGCCCCTAGCTACAGATGCTGACTTTGGCATAAACAGTGTCAAAGCGTACCGCCTGCTCGACTCTCCGGCCACCGCAGACCTATTCACTGTTACATACAGCCAAGCGCCAACAAAACTGCACGAAAGCAGAAACTTGGCTGCAACCATGGCGACGTCGCCGTTGCCTCGACTGCACATTCTGCGGTCATTGGATCGCGAAAGCGCTGCTTGGCATAATCTCACGCTTCTGGCGTTTGATGGTAGCCCACCTTTTCATACAGGCAGCCTGCATATCCACGTTCGTGTGACTGATGAAAACGATAATTCCCCGGAGTTCAGCAGTCCCGTCTATACGGCTCGTTTGGAAGAGGCGACTTCTGTCGGCAGTCTGGTACCTTTGAGTGCCAGTCCAAGGACTGGTGATGGTACCAAAGATGGACTAGGCTTCAGCAATCGGTGGTTCAGCACAGGCGGCCAAGTGAATGTGGTCGGAGGAAGAGGGGGTCTGCATGCGGTGGATCGGGACGATGGGCCAAACGGGAACGTGCGCTATTCCTACGCTCTGTCGACGCCAATCGGCATCCAGCAGCTGTTTCGGCTGGACGAAACGACCGGTCTGCTGCGCGTCGCACGGGAATTGACGTACGGAGCCGGAGCCAACGCATGGACATTCGACGTGATTGCGGAGGATCGTGGTCGTCCGCCCCGCTCGAGCAGCGCCAAGGTCACCATAGAATTAGTCGACTCGAACAATCATGCTCCAGCGGTGGCACTTCGTGTGCTCCCGGCCGGAAGACTGCCGGCCAATATGTCCACTTCTGCCCTTGAAACACTGGGCGTAAATGACGTGATGGGCAGTCCTGACGACTGTGTGTTCATCATGGAGAACCGGCCCCCCGGTAACGAGGCGCTAGCCCAACTGACGGTGAAGGATGCGGACACGGGAAATGGGGGACAATTTGATTGTAGTCTGGTTCAGCCAATACAGACAAACGGTCTGACAAAGTTTTCCAACTCATCGCTGACCTCCTTCATTCCTGCCCAGCCTACGTACGGTCAAAAATCATCCTCGCCTTTCTCCATTGTTTCAGGAACGAGTATGGTTAGAGGATTCGGATTAATCGAGCTTTGGCGCCTGCCAGGACTCAAGGTCTATAACCTAATGGCGACGCGCTCATTCGACAGAGAAGCAGAAGTAGTGAGCAAGGTGACAGTATGGTGTATGGACCAAGGAAGTCCAAGATTGAAATCGAGCTTTCATATATTTGTGCTGATTGGCGATGAAAACGACAACGCACCTTATTTTCAACAGCCAAGATACCATTTGAAGGTTTGCATATTTCGCATATTTGCTATCTCTTGAATATAATTATCCATAATGGAGACGGGTTTACACTATATTCTTGCCTAAATGTTACCTTCAATTAAAAATGCACATGATTACACTCTGATAGTCTGATCAGCATTCGAAAAGTTTTACTCATTTCTGTACAATTTGTAAGATTGAATTAAACAAAAATTCAAAAAAGTGTAATTTATTGAATGCATTTTCGTGCGAAAGTAGTTGAAAAAATCAAGTTTGATAACACTCAAGAAGATGCCGGATGTCGTATTTTATCAGCAGCTAATGCCAATAAAATTAAGGAGGCCTTACTTCATTCGAGCACCTTGAATTGGATTGGTGGTCTTTGAATAATTTGCTTAAGAAACTTTTGAAATGAGTTTTGAATGGAATGGAAGAATGCTTTTAGCCTTTTAAATAATATAAAATACTAATAAGAAGATCCATAATAAATGTACTATATTTAACTAATCTAATTTAACTAGCTTTGGTGCATTATAAAATGTTATGTTTTCATATTGAAATTATAGGCTTGATAATCATGGCGCAATAGTACAGAAAAATTAATAACTTATTGAATTAAATTTTAATTAGAGGTTGCTTGACCTTGTTTTTACAACTTTGTTATATTGGCAGGAAGACCTAGAGGAACGCACCTACACCGGAGTCCCTTGTATGCGTGATAATGTGGTATATTTTCAGAAGTATCGTAGTCGGCATTGTCAATGGCCTTTGCCATTCTTAGCCTCACACTACGACCCGTCAAAGAGACAATTGAAGCAGATCATCTGAACAATTGTCTGTTAAACAATTGTGGTTTCTCTCCTTCC